AGCCCCATACTTCTGTGTTTGAGACCAAAGGAGGTGTCATCAGTCTCCATAATAAAGTTGGCCTTGGGAGAGAGCCGGGCTTTGAACAGATGTAAATAAAGCATTGGAATGTAAAAAATGCCAAGCTGAGATTTTGGATTGCGCCCATTTATCACATCCAATGTTTCTTCCTCCCTTCTCAAATTAAGCAAGGTCTTTCAAACATTTATTTTGAATTAACTGCACATACTAATAGTAATTCATTCTGAAACTGGGAATCAATTTCTTTCCAATGCTCTTCTAAGACACAGACTTCCCTTGCAGAGTGAGCTGCATGGCAGCTAGCAGCGGCCGCCATGGGAGAGGGGCTGGGCCTGGACGCGGAGGGTGATCACACCCCGACACGCGCTCACCTCAAGCCATCAGCTGCGCACAGAGAGGGGAAAGGCAGACCGAAGGGAGCTGCGCCTTGACAGGCTGTAAACACGGACCCGCCGCCAGAGTCCGGGACGTCCATGCTGCTGCTTTTTTTTTTTTTAAATATTTATTTATTTATGCAGACAGAGCTGGGGTACAGGCCAGAGGTGCAGGGGCGGTGAGAGGCTTCACCAGAGACAGAGCGGGGAGCAGGACAGGCCGACTGAGAAGTGCACTGCTGAGGGGGGCAGCGGGCAGGTCAGGAGGGGTCTGCCGCGCCCTGTGGGTCACCCCCGGGGAGGGGGTCAAACTCATGCGGAAGTGGCTTCAGCTTCTCAGTGCTGCGCTGTAAGCCGCTGAGGGCCCCCACGCTGCTTTTTCACAGGACCCTGACTCACCGCCCCGGTCTCGCAGCTGCGCACACAGCCTGGGTAAAGACGGGGCACGGGCGGAATGAAAATGGAGCTCTCTGGGGCAGTGAAGGGGGCATAATGCGACTCTAACAACTCATCTTACACCAATGAATTTTGCTCAAATTTGTTTTTCTCCTACAGATTTCTTAAATGGGAAATCAATGGCAGCCAGGGCCAGGACAAGTTTGAAAGACAATGTTTCAAAATGTCAGCTACTTGGGCTTCGATCTTCCCGACCAGAATCTGCAATGAATGCAATATGCATGGGGCTTTATGGAGCGAGAGGGGAAGACAGCTTGGCAGGGCCCCTCCTGGCTCAGGGCTGGCTCTCCTGCTCCTCAGTCTCTTCTCAGGGCCCGTGCAAGCTCAGCCTTCCGGCCCCGCTGACTCCGCAAGTGGGAGAGGCCTGCTAACTCTGCAGCACGGCCGGCCCGCGCCCAGCTGGCATCACTGGGGGCTTTGCTCCAACAAACGAGACAGCGGAGAGGCACGCTGGCTGCTGCCCGGCGCTGAAAGGGCCCTCCCCGCCCGACCCTCCCGGGCTCTCCCCCTCGCCGCGTCTCGGGAGCGCTGGAGATGGAAGCACCCGAGCCCAGACGGCCGAAAGCTGACTCACAGCGATTAGGCGACATTCGCTCATGATAGCTACATCTCCCGGTTTCCAGGAACAAGGATCCAACTGTCAAGATCTATAAGGGGCCCATTAAATATTTACTGGAGCATCTTTATAATGGGAGAAAAGGTCAAAGTTAATAAAACTGACAGGCAGCTTCTGCCCAACTGGATTTATACATTATTTAGGCACCAAACACTCCATTCCATGAAACACAGTTTAGATCTGCAAAGACTCTTGGAAAACGTTCACTCCGCCACGGCGTTAAAACAGCAGAAGGGTGCTCGGAGCTGATCACAAACTAACACTGGGAACACATCACTCCCCAAACTGCTGCCATGAGTTTTCGATTACAGGTTCTGTAATATTTCCGATAAAAAGATACTCAACAAACATGCTTTGCTCCCTCCAAGTGTCTGTGGCGTGGGAACCACTCCCTCTCAGAGAGCAACTCGACAAAGCTCGAGTGTGTTTTCTTCCACCCAAAATCACTTCTCAGCAGGAATAAAACTTAAGAGGGAGAGAAACCATCTCCCCAGAGGAAGAGAACCCATCCCGCCCCCCGCACGGTGGGGAGGCCCCTGGGCGGCCAGCCAGCTTCTTCTTCCTGGCAACCGCGGGCACCAGAGCCCGGGCGGCGTTACCTGGCGGCAAGCTCGTCTCAGTCCCAGTTCTGCTATTCACTTCACAGCATTCCACTTTCTGTGACTCACCTGGAATTCGGTCACTCTCCACCTAAGCCGCCTTCTCATCAATTACGCCTACTACTACCTCCCTGCCCCGGGAAGTATCAGCAACTCGTCATGATCCTCAGAATTTGGAAAACCTTGACCCGTGGAGTACTTTTCGGGGTGCTGTTCTGGCAGCGCTGCACACACAGCCCACCTGGCGCCGAGGGGCCCTTCCCAGGGTGGACGCGGCGCCCGAGGGAGCATCCTCCGTGGGACGGAGCCCCCGGGCTCTGCTCCGCGGGACAGCGGGGCCATCTTCCGTCTCACCGCCCACCCTAAAAAAACGTGTATTTTCTCCAAGGAGCCTCCTAGCTCTAAAGTTTGGGGTACTGGCTTCACCACAAAGTGGAGAGATGTTGTCCCTGCGGTAAGTCTCACAAAGCTGTTCCTCCTGGACAGAGCCTGCCTTAAAGAAGCCCAAGTGATGGTGGCCAAAGTTGGCCTGTGTCCATGTGCCCCCAATCACAAAGGAGGAAGACATGAAAGGAAATGACACAGGAAGCCGCGTCTGCTGCTCGAGCCTCGGGCCCCAGACCGGAGGGGCACGAAGCCCTGACTCGTTCCCCCCCGCGCTCCAGTCCACCTGCCCGGAACAGGCAGAGGCCGCATGTTTAGTGGACAGAAGCTTGGGAAGAAACAGAAGGCAACTCACCACACCCCCACGTTCAAGACACGGCCAGGCCGGTGTCGCTCCTGCAGGCCTAGTCCTGGGAGGCGGCGGCTGTGTGGGCACGCACAGCCTCCTCGCACGCAGCCGGAACCCCCACCACGGCCCGGATCCCACCTGAAGAAAACCTGACGGTCAAAGATCTCACAACTTCAGATCAATCAAGCTTTGATTTTCTCACTATGAAAATCGTTATTTCTTTTTCAAGGATTCACGAGAGGTTTCGGGGGGGGGGGTGCTGGGAGGGGCATTCTCTTGACCTTAAGCTATGAATTATGCTTCGCTTTTTTTAAAAAATCACATGGTGGTTCATTACATGTAAGTTCCCAGGAACACCAGCAAGACACATCGGTACCTCTGGCACGGAGCCCTCTACTGAAGAGCGAGGCAGCACAAAGCTGGCCATCTTAGGCCGGACGGCCCCGGGAGGGAGGAGGCGCCTGGGGTCTCCACGCCCTCTTCCAGCCCTGCTCCAGGAAAGACACCAGGGTGCCACCTCTCGGTTGGGCAGAGCCGGGCATCCAGGGAGCCTACCTTAAGGATGCAGCTCTGGGCGGGGATTACTCTGTATTCTCAGCAACACCCTCGCTAGTGCACTGCGTGCCGGTGATGCTAATGAACTCGTCTCTGCTAAGTGGACAGGCAGGTTAGGGAGCCGCGACGGCCGCCTGGCCCTGAATGGCCCCACCAGACAGCTCTGACGGATGGCCTCCTCCAGAGCAAACAGAGCGCTCCTCAGGCCAGCGCCATGACAGCGCTGTGCTCGGTGACGGTACGTCGAGCTCCATGCAGCCATGCGTCAGGAGCGGCCCCGCTGCCACCGTGGCGCTCTGGTGTCCGAGAAGAGCCTCGGAGAAGCTGACTCTTG